TCTAGAGGGACTCTTAGAGAACCAAATGACCTTCTCAAAGTCCAAAATACCAGCAGTCTTTCTTTTTTAACGGAAAGCTAATAAAAGGCCGAAGAGAATTCTTATAAAAGTTCAGGAGTCTTCTCATAGAAGACCAAAGCGTTTTCGCATAGAAGACCAATAGGGTTTTATCATAAAAGACCAAAACCAAAGTGTCTTTCCATAGAACATGGAAAATCAAAGGATCTTCAAATAGGTGTCCAAATGGTTTTCTCATATAAACCAAAGGGTCTTTTTACAGAATAATACATAGACTTCTCATAGAAGAACAAGGGGTCTTTTCATAGAAGTCCGGATGGGCTTCTCAAAGAAAACCAAGTAGAGATATAGAGCGAAAGATCAAGAAGTTATTCTCATAAAAGTCCATAGTACCAGCAGTCTTTTCATTAAAGGAAAAAAAAAACTTCTTATGGAAGTCCAGTAGTTCTTCTCGTGGAAGATCGAGGTGTTTGCTCCTAGACGAACATACAAATTTTTGTCATAGGCCAAGGGTCTGCTCCTCATAAAATCTATTCCCAAAAGGCGCAAAAAAAATTCTCATAAAATACCAAAGGGATTTCTCATAGAAGATTAAAGGTCTTTCCATAGGTGGATGAAGAGAAATAGTAATCAAAGGGTTTTCAAATAGGTGCCCAAATGGTCTTCTGATATAAACAAAAAAGGTATTTTCACAGAATAACACAAAGTCTCTCATAGAAAACCAAAGGGTCTTCTCAAAGAAGTCCAGATGGTCTTCTCATATAAAACCAAGCAGAGATAGGTACCGAATGGACAAAAAGGTATTCCATAAAATTTCATAATACCAGCAGTCTTGTCATATAACAGCAACGGGCATGATGTCCGTGATGATGTTTCTCGTAAAAACTCAAAGGGTATTCTCCTAGACGTTCATATATATTGTTTTCATAGGCATGCTCCTCATAAAAGTTCAGGAGTCTACACACAGAAGACGAAAAGGTCTTTTCATATAAGACCAAAGAGTTTTTACATAGAAGACCAATAGGGTCTCCTAATAAAAGACCAAAGGATCTTCTCGTGGAAGATCAAAAGGTCTTTCCATAGAAGACCGAAGAGTCTTTTGATAGAAACAAAAGGGTCTTATCATAGGAGTCTAAAAGATCGTCTCAAATAAGACAGAATGGTCCTCTTTCAGAAACCAAGGAGTCCTCTCAAGGAACATCCAAGAGACTTCAAAGAAAACTAGAAGGTCTTCTCATAGATTAAAAAAAGGTCCTAATGTCTTCGTAGAAGACCGAAGGGAATTATCATACGAAACCAAAGGGTCAAGAGGGTCTTCTCATAGAAAGAATGCCCAGTGTATTTTCTTTCCAAGAACATCGAAAAAGACTTCACAAAAAAGAGCAGGAGGTCTTTTCATAGAGTACCTGAGGAAAACAAAAATATATTAATAAAATGCCAGAAAGTATTTTTCATCATCGTTTAGAAAAACTCAAGGTATCTCTTACAAAATCAAACGATTTGCGAATAGGAGAGCAAATATTCAAATAATAACTTAAGAGAAGACTGTATATCTTCTAATACAAGACACAAAGGCGGTTTCGTACAGAAACAGATAGTCTTGTCATGAAATATGTGACGTCTTATTTTCTCATAAAAGACGAAAAGAAAGGGACTTCCTTAGAAGGCCAAATTAACTTCACATCGAGGACATAAGCAGTACAACAGCTCCACAAAGTATAACAGCTCCACATGCTATAAATTGGGACCATTACAAACAAAAAAAATCTTTTAATTTATTCGCATTAGAGAAGAAGTTTAAACGAATGTGGGACCTGTGATATTTTGTAGGTCTACCGCACTTTTTCTCACTGAGAGGGTATATTTTTATTATCCTCTCCATATGCATTTGTCAAGGATATTAAACTTTTCACAAAATTAGCACGAACTCAAACAAAGTCAATGTCTTCATAATTGTATCCAGCATTCGAAAATTATCATCGATAAATTATGCCAACAATCTTTTATTCAACCAACATCCATTATACCAACTCAGCTCAGCCGGCGAAGCCCTCATCCGACGACCACCATCAGAAAGACACAAAGAATTTAGAATAACCAAATAACTAACCATTGGTTAAGAAGCGTGAGCTACAGAGAAGAGGTTAAAACATAGCAACTTTAAGCCAGAATAACTTAGTAGAGCAGCTGAGGCAAGGCAAGGCAATAACAACAACAGTTAGTATTAAGCCACACCAACACACACACACGCTCACCCAGACACACGCTGTGAATTATACGACGTTACAAGTGATTACTCAACAGCCGTCTCTGCAATGTGAGCAAGCTTTAACTGGCATTGTTGTTCTTCTTGTTGTTGTCCGTTGCGATTTGTTCTTTCCTTTCAATGAATGACACACCACTATCGACCGCCTCTCACACCACCGATACTCCCGCTAAACGACACGACTGCCCATGCACCATCCCCACCATCAATCCAATGGAACAAACAACCGTTGAACGGTTGTTTTCAAACAAAGAAGAAATTGAAATATCCACCGGTTGATGTGACGGTGTGAGAGTGTGTTTGCGCGTCAGTGTGCCGTTGTGTGCTTGTTTGTGTCTCATCATCGCCGTCGTCTTGAGATAACTTCAAACTTGAGCCAGACAAATTTCACTTTTACCGAAAATGTGGGTTGCAACCATTTGGTTTGAAGTGATTGCTGGCTGGCCCCCCTTTTCGTTGGCTTGACGCGATGATGGGTCTGATAGCAGCTCAAAAGCAACTACAGCAACAGCAAAAGAAGACGACCAACAACGAAAGCAGCAGATATTTTGAAATCTAGAAAAATACCGATAAAAATAAATAATAAATAAAAAGTACAAATCGTTAGAATCGAAGTGAGTGCACCGTGGTTTTGGTGTGCAAAGAAGTGATTTGTTTAGGAAATAAACAAAAAAAAACGGACATTTTATTTTTTTTCCAAAGAGTCGTATGGAAAATAAATAAACTTTATAACACCTCGAAATACATACGTTAGAACCCACAAAGTGTATCTATTCTTGATCAACATAAAATTCTATGTCTATTTAGCGTCCGTCCGTGGAAATCAATCTAGCTTCCGAACGAAATGGGGTAGGTAGATAAAATTTTACTCAAATGTATATTATGTCTGCAGGACTTTTGGTATTGAAAATGGGCCATGTAGGTACATGCTTTCCTATAGCCCCGCATATAACGGCACCTCCCGATATTCGGTATTTTGATAATTTTAGCGACACTATTCTCCGGAATTGTTTCAAATTTGGTATTTGAAGTTCGTAATGGATACTACAGCCCATGACAGAAAATTTTATGTGCAGGTCCACGTCTTCGTAAAGCCTCCATATAACGAGACGTCCCGATATTCGGTATTTTGATTATTTTAGCGACATTATTCACCGGGATTGAAGTTCGTAATGGATATTACAGCCTAAGACAGAAAATTGTCTGTGCAGGTCCACGTCTTCGTATAGCCCCCATATAACGGCACGTCCGATATTCGGTATTTTGATAATTTTAGCGACATTTTTCACCGGAATTGTTTTAAATTTGATATTTGAAGTTCGTAAAGGATACTACAGCCTAAGTCAAAAAATTGTCTGCGCAGGTTCACCTCCCGATATTCGGTATTTTGATGATTTAAGCGCCATTAGTCACCGAAAATGCTTCAATTTTGGTATTTAAAGTTCGTAATGTATACTACAGCCTATAACAGAAAATTGTTCGTGCAGGTCCACATTTGTATAGTCCCCATATAATAGTACCTCCCTATATTGATGATTTTAGCTTCATTATTCGCCGATTTTTTTAAGTTTCGTATTTAAATATTGTAAAGGTTTTTGACAAAAGTTGCCTATGCAGGACCATATAGACTCGAATTTTTTTGGATTTTTTTTTTTTTTTTTTGAAAATAGCTAAATTGGTTCAAATGGTGGAGGGTGTTCAAAGTGGAGGGTGGCGGGTGGATTTTATTTTATTGAAAATAGCTTAATTCGTTCCAAATGGTGGAGGGTGTTCAAAGTTCGGCCGAACTTACAGTTCTTTTTTTTTTGTTATTTTGTTAGAAAATTTCGCGTTTTAAAGAATATGTTCGATTTTTTTTTAAAAAGTTATGGTCTATTTCACCCGATATATATTGGTATAAATTGGTAGGCTTCTACCCAGCCCTAAACTCTAGCCCTATGCGAAATTCCGAGTCGATTGGTCTATAATTGCCTCTAGAGCGACTTTAAAATCAAGATAATATTATGTTTTTGGTCCATTTCAAACCTAAATAAATATGCGAACATTTCCACCAATAATAGGCTTCTATTCTGACCTTAAGCCAACCTCTATGGCAAATTTCGTGAGGATCGAGCTATAATTGCGAACTGTAGCGACATACACATGAACAGACAGACACACATATCTGGATCGACTCAGATCGCTGAGATAGGAACATCCCATGTTTTGGACCAATATTTCGATGTGTTGCATAATTTTTGGCCCAATCAAACTTATAATACCTCCAACACTTAGTGTATAAAAGTATAAAAACTTAAAACACCAAAGAACTCATACAAAATCATCAAACACCACTGTCCTATATAAAACAAACACAAACGCCCCCCTTTTATTTTCTTCATATTGACTGTAATCTGTTTATATTAGTGTTGTATTTGTTGTCGTTGTTGTTACGGTGTGTGGAGAATGTGTTTTTCTTGTTTTTTCTGTTTTCAACATTTTATTCATTGACCTACAGAAACATCGCTCAACTGGCACAGTCAAACAAACAACACACACACACCAACAAACATACAGACAGGCTGACAGACACGCTCACACCAACCTCTGGTGGCGGAGGCACATGGAAATAAATTGGTTCAAACTTGTTGCCATCGAACCGCCAACAACTTTCTCGCCAACACACAACTGCCATGTGCCCGACTGAACAACGTATTAACGTCACTGCACACAGATACGTGTTGCTGCAACGTGACCACAGCGCTACGCTAAGAACCCGAACAGTATTGGCCAAAGTGAAAGAGCTGACGGCGAGAAAGCTTTTCTATTCAATTGCGTTTTGGCTGTCTAAGCTAACGGTTGTCTTGAAAATCTAACAACGGATAAAACTAGAAAAACACAAAATAAATATATTGAACGCTGAGAGAGATAGATACGTGAATAATATAAACAACAAGCCAGAATAAGTTTTGTAGAATACAAATAATCAGAAAAAAAGAACAAATCACAGAACAAAAAATCAGTTAAGAAAAAAAAACAACGTGAGCGTAACGTGTAACGTAATAAATACCTTATATGGACGTTTTTTAAATGGACTCGCAAGAAATCTAGAACTAGAACGGCCAACAACAAAGAACATTGTTTTTCGTGGAATCATCATCGCCAGGCATTATCGTTGTATCGACGAGGTGCATTTGAGTGCCGGTCGGGTAATAAAACCCCAAAAGTCTAAAACGCAAATCTTGGCCAAAACAATTCTTGGTAAAAAAAATGGAATCATCCTCATCAAAATAAACAACAGTTCATGTGAAAAGAACGAAAGAAAGAAAGAGAGAAATCCCCTCACCAATAAAATTGTGAACAGCAAAAAAAAAAAAAACAAAGAATTGCAGCAGCAATTCTCTGATGTCGTCTGCAAATCTGAAAACAAATTTCAAACAAAGTGCAAAGAACTTTAGAAAATGTGACAATTGAAATAACATAAAAAAAATATATAAAATCAATTTTTAAATAAACAAATCACAGTTGAATGGACTGAATGTCTAACTTGAGTGTCGGACGTCTCAAAGAAAGAAAAAACAATAAAAACAACAAAAACACACCAAAATCAGCAATGCGCAATTAATTTGAAATTGAAATTTTGAAATTGCCTAAAAACAAGCAACCCATACATTGACACACAGAAGTGATTTAATGCACACATGTGGAAAATATTGAAAACAATTACAAAACCTGAACAACAGCAACAACAACGTATTTTCTCAGCAGATAATTGAGTTTCAATAAAATGTCGATTGTCTGCACTTTGGAGCAAAAAGTGAATTTATTTAAAGGTCCTGTGGCTACCAAGAATTTACTTATTTTAAAGAATAACATTAACAACAATCCACAAATAACACCAGCAGCAACAACAACAACAGCTAATTCAACAACTAACAGCACCAACAACAATTATTCATCAGCTGTTACAACCTTGCCCTCAGGCAAATTACTAACGGATATTAAAAGCTCTTCGTCATCGTCAGGAGCACCAATTTCGGTGTCATCCCTCAAGGAAAAATGTACGTAAAATAAATTATTTCAAATATTTGTGGGAAAATTACGCAGATGGAAATGTGTGAAATTTGTTTTGAATTTACTGGAAGTTGGAATCATTTGTGGGGGGAAAATTTAGACTGTTTTGGAATTTGAGATGAGTTTGTTTTACAAAAAAAAAAAACCCACAAATTTTCCAGAATAGTTTCGTAACCATTTCTTATTTAAAAAAAAATACAGGGTGAGATAAAAACAGGACACAAAGTCAAACGCCATAATTCTCAATGTCGGAAATAGAATCAAATTTTAGAATAAGTTTAGATTTGTTCGAATTGGTCACCTTTGGCACGAATTGTGGCCTTCAAACGGCCAATGAAACCCTTACATGCTGCCCGCATGTTGCTCTGCGGTATTTTGGCCCATTTCCGGCCCCTTTTGTACGCTTGAAAAAAATATAATGAGCTGTCACTGGAATAATTTTAATAGCTGTCGGACGAGTGGCTTAGAAATGACAGCAGTCTGAAGTTGGCTGCAGTTTTTTCATCTCACCCTTTAATTGTTCCGTTCAGAACCTTCAAGAATCTACTATTTTTACAATTTTTTTTCGATATCTTAAGGAAAAGTCAATTTCGTCTAGACAAAGAAAATAAAAACATTTTTTGTTCAAATTAAATCCTTAAAAAATCAAGCTATGAAGGCAAAATAAACGATATATATAAATATAAAATATAAATATAAAAATATAACTTAATTCATAATTAAAAATCCCAAAACAAACAATTCTGATAAACTCTGGAAAATTTAAGCTTAAAATGTATTTGACTTGAAACTTATTATTTTTTTAATTTATTGTAAATATCTTATTTTAAAACTATTATTTTAAACAAGAAGTAAGGTTCTATGTTTTCCCAAGTGTTGAAAAAAAACTACTACTTTTGTACAACTTATACCACGGTTCCACAAAATGCATAGCCATTACTCATCATTCCCATAATAATTTTTTTTCTTCAATGGATAATGCATTTTATGAAAAAAAAACAAATTATCGTTCTTCTTCATTTTTCACTATTTACAAGTGTATTTTGCTTTTCTCTCGTCTTTAGCTTGTTGTCAAGTACAAGCCTTGACAAAGTTCAAGTGGAGCAAAAAAGCCACAAAACAAAGACACTCTGTAAAAGCTATTTTGTTGAGTTAGGACAAGAAAGAAATATTTTACAGCCGGTTACACAGTTTTTTTGTTTTGTAATTTTCTTTTTTTCTTTCTTTGCATTTGCTTTTGTTGTTGTTTTATTTTCGCTAGTGATAACATTATTGTTTATTTGTTTACAACGACAACAAATACAAATCAAGACAACGACAGAAACAACAACAACAATAAAACATTAATTACATTATTTACAATGGTGGTGGCATTAACATTTTGCAATGTTCTTTTTTTTTGTCCCCTGTGCTCTTTGCATTTCTTGGTGATAAGAAAAGTAAATACTTTTTTTAATTTTATTGATTTTGTAATTAAAAGTAAAGTGGGCAAAGATAATGCTAAAAATAGAAATTTTATAATTTTTGATCATTATAAAGTTAGGCTTCATTTTTGACAAGAAAAATTCTATTAGAACAATTTAATTAAAAGAAATGTAAAGAAGATACAATTTGCTTTTTTTAATCAAGTCAACAAATTTTTTAAACCATGGATTTTTATGAAAATTTAAATAAAATTTATCTTTAAACAACAACAAGCACAAAAGCACCTAAGTTCAGGCCAGGCCGAAACTTTAATATTCTCCACCAGTCAGAAGAAACTTACAAAATGAAAAAAAAAAAATCTGTTGAAAAATGCTGCTATAATTTAAAAAATTCCAAGTATCAGGTGTTACAGTCATATGGGGCTATAAGAGCTCAAAATTCTAAGTTTGAGATGATTCTGTTGAAAATAGTAGTTAGCATAAAAATGCCGAATATAGGGAGGTACCTTTACGATGTTTACGAATACCAAATGTGATTCCAGTGAAAATCTGAAAAATTTCGGGAATATAGCTAAACATGAATCTATAAGGACTGGTCTTTGCATAGAGGGAAGACAAACTTCTAATTTACTGAAAATTCTATTAAAAATATATGACTTAATTCGCCAAAACACATTTTCAATGCCAAAAGTTAGTTAGTTCTCAAATAAAAGTTTATCAATCTCCTTCATTTTGTGCAAAAGCTAGAGTGATTTCCACAAACGGAGATACGTGGCTAAATTGACATAGAATTTTATGCTGTTCAAGAATAAAATTTTTATTCATTTTAAAATGTTAAAAATTTAAAAAAAAAAAAAATCTGCATTCAACTGCGTTGAAAGGCTACATTTATTCAGAATTAAATATGTAATAGAATTTGTTAGTAAAACCCACCAAAAATACCAAAAAGTCAAGTCCAGTTTTCTCTTTATAAGGCATGTCAAATTTACTACTCTGGTTGGTAGTTCCACTGTGCTAACGAAGAGAGAGTTTTTAAGAGAAATTACTCATCCACTATTTGTTTTGAAAAACACCACACAACTATCGCTCTCTCTTGTTCTCTACTCAAGAGTGAAAAAATCCCATTATGGGCAAACAATTGTAAACAAAACAATCTGATTAGCATTTAACAGGGTTGGGAGATCTAAATTATTCGAAAAAAAGAAGATTCTTTTGAGTTAATGTTAGAAATTTCAAATAATATATGCGTATTCAAGTATTTGAGCAATAAATTAAAATTACATTTATTTTGAAAATAAATAAAACCCGTCTGTAATGAAATGATGAATAACAAACAAAAAAAAACAACAATTAAATGTGACTTGATATTCAAATGGTTTCTATACAAAATTAAAATCTACACAGATTGCATCACTTCACATGGTATTCGCCAGGGATTATTTATAAAATTTATTTGCATTTTTGTTGTTGTTGTTTTTTTAATTTACTTATTTCGGGAGTCAATGTACTGATAATGCCTAATGCGTTTTTTAATGAATACACAAAGTGTTGGTTTTTTTCGTTTCTCAGCCATAATTATTATTTTTTATTAATGTTAAAAGCCTGTTGGTACTTTTTTCAAAATTACCAAATAAAAAATTTGAAAACAAAAATTTTATTCAAATATAGGCTTATTTTTATATTCCTTTCGGAGCAAAAATATTGGGAGGCATATATTGACTGAAGTCGAAAAAAATTTTTTTTTATCAAAATGAAGTCATAATTGTTTCAAACACAACACGTTTGTCGATCAGTAAAGAATATTCTATAATTTTTTTTTTACAAATTCTTAGGCCATTAACTTTCCTCACAGAAGGAGGAAAGGATTTTCTTTATGTTTAATTACAAAATCTATGAAATCCATCAAAATGAGTCAGTTTTTCTAATCAACTTTACACCAAATTAATGACCAACACCCAAATATTGACATATTTCCACATAACGAGCACCTGGGGCGTATACATGTTAAAATAAATTATACGCACGAAGGGTTCCTATTTCCTCTTACGAAAGTTATAAAATCTACGCCAAACCCCACGTTTGCAAATATTTCAAAGAACAATCCAGATAATTATAGAGCTGATGAGGGTTATTAGCAGAAGCCTTTGCGGTTTCACAATACCATGTAAATGGCAGGGCAGTTCCAGAATTATTTATATACATATTTAATAATATATGTAATCAGTGGGGTAATATAAACACATTCAGCTTTGTATTCTTTTTGAAACCAACACTTTTTATTTTGATCCAAATCATAAAAATAATTTCCATTTCTTTCTTTTTCGTCTCATTTTTAGCTTTGCTTTCATCGGCGCCCAATCATCTAATTAAGGGTCAGGATTTCAAGAATCGTTTAACTGTAACACCCACCACGGAGCTGCTACAGTTACATCAGCAACAACAACAACAGCAGCAACACCAGCAACATCTTCTATTAACGGCCGTAGCAAATATGCCAGAAGTACTGCAAGCCGCAGCTGCCAACAGTTTGACAAGTAACTCCACAAAGTATCACAGCAACCCAGCCCAAGGCCTGGTAACTCCGGCCACTGCTGCCGCCATGGTTCGTATGTCCACCATGTCGCCCACACTTTCAATGAACGGCAGCTCCAATGAGGCCACAAATGGTAGGTTTTTCTTTTGCTCATTATTCTCTTGATCGGATAAATAATATCCCGCTCTTCCCCCTCTTTCTCTATTGCAGTTCACAGCCTATCCATGTACAATGGGCCGGTTAGTCCCCAATCCAGTGATTCGGGCCACAGCATGTCCGACATGCAGCACAACAATTACATGAACTATAACCCCGATTTCACGGGCATGACCAAACAACAGGTCAGCGCCGCCAAGGAATTATTTTCGCAGCGCAAACAACGAGAATTCACACCCGACTGCAAAAAAGATGACAGCTACTGGGATCGTCGTCGGCGCAACAATGAGGCGGCCAAGCGCAGCCGTGAGAAGAGACGTTACAACGACATGGTTTTGGAACAGCGCGTGGTCGAACTGACCAAGGAGAACCATGTCTTGAAAGCCCAATTGGATGCTATCAAGGACAAATTTAATATATCCGGTGAAAACCTTGTGAGTGTGGAACAGATCTTGGCCTCTTTGCCCACCAGTGAACAGGTTTTGAGCACAACAAAACGCTCCAAGCTCTCCACGCCCGCTACCAATTTCAATGGCAATGCCAACTATGGCACCTCCGGCAACAACCTGCAAGCGCAAAGAACTTCAGTGGATGTCCTCAGTTCCTCCCACAATGACAAATTAACCGCCCAAAGTGTTATCAAGCCGAATGGTGCAGTGGCGGCGCCATCTGTGAATGGAGTTTCTCCCCTGCATCATCTGCCCTCCGCAATAAATGCAGCTGCCGCAGCCGGTCATCAGCCCAGCATACAGGCCACCCAGGCCTTATATGTGCCGGCATCAGCAGCTTCAGCTGTTTATGTTCCCGCCAACATAAACGAAAGCCTATCGTCCAATACACCTCCCCACCAACATCATTCAGTGGTAGCTGCCGCAGCAACCACCACAACCAGTCTCGTCCCCACACAACCGCCCACTCCAAATCTACAGAATTTACACGTCCTTCAAGCCCTGAATAGGAACTGTGATTTTGAGAACATACGCAAGGTTGTGGCAGCTGCCGCTGTTGCCAGCAATGCTGCTGCCGCCGATCTACCGTCCACTGTGAGTGGCCTGTATGTGAATCCCCAGGGAGCAGCTGCTGCAGCCATCTATGCCGGAGCCACACAACATGTCCACAACCCCTTGTACACAAAACTCAGCAAAGAAGAGCACAGCTATTTGCCAGCCACCATGGTAGAGGGTCCAATTGTTAGCTCCAGTGCTGGTGACTCGGTCAGCTCTTCGTCGCCCCGAGAAACAGCCAGCGTTTTGAATCTGTCACGCCGAGCCAGTAGTCCCACAGCCTATGAGCATATGCTGTCGTCCACCACACCAACATCCTCTCGTCTGTCCTCCGCCATGTCATCGGCATCGTCTTCGGGCGCTGTGTCGGGTGATGATGACCATGAGGCCGACAATGAAATGGCCGAAGAGACTAATGAACACAACCTCGCCAGTACCACAACAAGTCCTCACAGCAACGACTCCAACAACTGCTTGCCTCTGAAGCTAAGACACAAATCTCATTTGGGTGATAAGGATGCTGCTGCCACAGCCTTGTTGGCTTTGCAGCACATCAAACAGGAGCCAATCAGCAATCGGGCATCACCACCAGCCTGGGCTGATAATTCGGGCGACAATTCAAGTGATGAACGCGACTCGGGCATCTCAATACCCAGTCCCGAATGGGCCGCCCAGTTCCAAAGAAAGGATACCTGTACGGCCACAGCCGTGGTAACGGTGACACCCTCAGAGAGGGAGCACATACTGAAGTCCAAATTGGCCCGACTGGAATCCGAGGTGGCAACCATTAAAAATGATTTATACAGCCGATCGAAGTGTTGTACATAAATTGAGAGTGACACAAAAAGAGAGTGAATGCGAGAGAGAGAGCGAGACAGATTGTTTTGAGGTCATGTTAAAGTTTTCACATTGAAAAATGAAATTGAACCCCTGAAAGGAAAAGGGATACCTTTTACTAAAATTCTTGCAAAACTTTTCAATTTATTTATTTCGTTTAAAATACAAGGAGAGAGAGGATAGACAATAATTAGACATGTTAGGAATAAAAAAAAAAAAAAAACAAAAAAACAAATTTTTGAAAAAAAAAAAAAAAACAAGAAACTAATAATTGCTATGGCTGATGAAAGATTTTGAAGAAATTTGAAAAAAAAACTGAAAACCTTTTCTATTTTGTTATACGCTTTTTATAGTTTTGCCCAAAAGAAAAGCAAAACAAAAACTGTACTCGGTTTATGTTATTAATTTGATGGAGTGAGCACAACTCCTGATCTCAATGTTTACTAATGAAGAAAAAATAAAACTTGATTTCAAACTTTGTACATCATTTCAAACAAACAAAAACAAACAATGGTATTAACAACATTTCATTACATACACACAATTATAATTATTATTACTATTATTAGGAAACATAAATGTTGTTGTAAAATTTTGGATTTTTTTTTTAATTTGTAAATTGTAATTGGGAATTCCATTAAAAGAAAAATGGTACATTCCCTACTCTAATGTGGATGCATATATAAATATACAAATTTTATTAAATAAGAAATCCTAATTAGTTTCTTAATTATATTAAAAAAATGGGTTTTTTACTTTACCCCTAAAAACATTAACACTGTGCTACAGGCCAACTACAAAATTGCAATGTGATCGAGCATAAGTACTCATCCTGGTTATGGATGATTCGTTAAAGATTTTTATTTTAAAGAAACCTTTAACTGCTCAACGGAATCTTGAGGATAAATGTTAAAAAGAACCCTGTATTTGTATTTTTTTATAACACAATTTTGTTGTTGCAACACAGTGTGGTTTTGTGTAAAAAATAATTAATTATGAATGCATTCAATTGTAACCACTGGCATTTTGTGGTTATTTCTAATTATAATAATTATGAAATAAAAATTTATAAATTTTTTTATTAGTTTCATGGAAAAAAAAAACTTCCTATTAATTAAAAAGTAAATTATATCTTAAAAAAATAAGGACAAAACAACTTCACTTATCTCAATATTTTCTTTGTGGTATTTCTTATAGATTATAATAAGTTTTATATAAAAATATGTATGTATGTTTTTTTTTAAGTTTTATTTGATAAGAAAACAAAATGTTCTATGTTTTTAAGAAATTGACAAAAAAAGAAGTTTCCTTATTTAGCATTATGTAAATAAAAAAAGTTTAAATGTTACAACAAACAAATTACTATGACATGTAAATACAAGAATTACACTATGACAAACCAGATTAAATGGCGAGTATATTTAAAAAAAATAAACTGAAAACAAATCAAGATACACGCATAATTATTATTAAACAACAACAACAAAGAACATGAAGCCTGGAAAATTCATAGAAGTTTCTTTGGTCCAAACCCCATCCACACCCATTCCCTCCCAATAAAAAAAAAAAAACAAAAACAAAGTATCCAAAAAAACAATTCCTATTTTTTGTAAAACAAAAAAGTAAAAAATCAACGTTTTTAAAATACAAAGAAACAGAAATGATGGTATTTTTTACACAAAACAAAGAAGAAAATTATTTTTTAAAAGAAATATGTCGCTTGTTTTAAAAATGTTCTTATAGTGTAAACTAGTTTGTAGTGATGTTTTACCAACCGTGGATATCGGAGCAGTACGATGTTTTAAATGTTATATTTATATTATATAATCAGCAATGTTTTCATTAAAAAATATTTAAAAAAATCATAAACGTCTATTGTTTTCTTTAAGAAGTTAAAAGGCAGAAGGTTCGGTGGGCCGAAATTAAATACCCTCAAACATCAAGAACGAATCTGGAAATTAAAAAAAAAACATTTTTTTTAATTCATAAGATCAGAATATTGGGAGTTACCGTTACATGGGGTCTATACGAAAGCGTGGATATGGCCAACCATTTGTCCCTTAGGCCATTACAATATTCAAAGACAAAACTTACAAAAACTTATACAATTCCGGTGAATAGTGTCGAGGTACCGTTATATGGGGGCTATACGAAGAAATGGACCTGCATAGGACATTTTCTGCCACTGGTTGTAATATCAGTTAGCAACTTCAAATAAGAAATTTGAAACAATTCCGGTAAATAAAGTAGCTTAAATCATCGAAATACCGAATATGTGGAAGTACCGTTATATGAGGGTTATACGAAGACGTGGACCAGCATACACAATTTTTGGTGACAGGCTGTAGTACCAGTTAGCAACTTCAAATACGAAATTTGAAACATTACCGGTGAATAATTTAGGTAAAATCATCAGAATACCGAATATGGGGAGGTACCATAATAGGGAATCTATGGGAAACTGTGGACATGCAAAAGACTATTTTTATTGACAGGCTGTAGTGCCCATTAGAAACTTCAAATACGAAATTTGAAACAGTTCCGGTGAATAATGTTGCTAAAATAATTAAAATACCGAATATAGGGAGATACAGTTATATGGGGGCTATATAGCCCATTTTCAATACCAAAAGTCCTGCAGACTAAACACATTTTTGAGTAAAATTTTATCAACCTACTTCAATTCGTTCAGAGGTTAGACTGATTTTCACAGGCGGACAGACGGACAGATCGACGGACGGACATCGCTAAATCGAAATACTTTTCGAACCATTTCTGCTGATGTTGCTGTTTTCTTCCGTCCACTTCCTTGACGTCGGGCTACGCTACCAGTATACGTGATACGAGACTCAAAAGATTCATTCACATTTATATGCGGAAGTGCTCTAACGATAGCCACTTGTGGTTTTCCGCTTGAATTCCATCACGAAAACAAATTACTACGGTATCCCGAACAAACATGGCAACACTGTTCTATTTTTGTATTTTCCACAAAATTGTTAACCAGCCAAACTTAATCTTAATTTCATTTTTCATTTTTAAAATTTAATAGAGTTTTAAAAAATCTATAAAAACCTTTGCCATGAGTCATTGGTTTAAAAAATTGGTCAATTCGGTTCAGTTTTCGGTATAAAGCCTATGTAGGGGAAACCCAGATTTCAAGTATTTTTTTATATCATATTTTCCATTGAAGTTCCCTACATTTTTTTGTTTGAGTTTACATTATGTAGACACCCTACTTGCAAACATGATTTAATATGGCACAACGTTCAATCGATTTAGTTGACCTTTGGATTTTGGTTTATTCGGGGTAGAAAACCATCCAGAGAAGATATCTTATATAAGTATAATTAAGGGCAATTTTTAATGAGCTACATAAAGTTAAAAAAAACATACAATTCTGAAAATTAGTGTCCATATAGTTTAATGAATGAAGATTATTTCAGGCGCATGGTGACCGCGACAACGCTTCCAATGATCCACCGGCTTACTCCAATTTTGGCATACTTTCCAACATTTCAGCCGGTACTTCACGAATAAATGCTTCAATGTTGTCTTCTAATGCGTCAATTCAAGCAGGCTTGTCTGCATAAACATTGATTTTAACTAAGCCCCACAAAAAAGTAGTCTAACGCGTTAAATCGCACAATCTACGAGGGCAATTAAATGGTCCTGAACGAGAAATAAAATGAAAAACAAACGCGTTTTATACATAGTATTCGAGATATGAAATACGTCTATCGTTTAAAACTGGAGTTACTTTTCAACCAGGCCCCTTCACTCATACCCACTACTTGAATTACAATGATTCCAATGGAATATCTACGTACATACATCGGAAACAATTTATTGGAACGCAATATTTAGTTCACATACAAAGCAAATTATCTTTCGGAAGTCAGCCTCTTTGTATTCACCACAGATATGGAATTAATTGAACATTGAGTCTATTTATTGATTTGGAAGCAGGTCATTGTACTTATCTTTATAGATCTGTGGTTTTAAATTGACTAAAATAGCAAATATAGATTTTAACCGCAATAAACAAGAAAAGAAATATTGAAACCTGTTTAATGGTTGTTATACAATTATTGAACATGACGCACAAAAGCAAAGTCAAGCCAGGAGAAACTTGATCATTACAAAACACTTTTATATTTTATACTAATATCAAGCTGGATATTAAAAATGAATATGGGATTTCACATTATAACGCAAAAACACAATTAAAACCCAATACCTATTATATATACATTTAGCCCCAAATAAAATCTTCCCTATCCCCTTCAGAACATACGTACACATTTTATGACCGCAAATATATAAATAATATTATTTTATTATTCATAAAATTGTTCATCTATAAACATTTAAAGAACAATATCAAAAAAAAAAACACAAAACACAATTGATCTATGAGGTATATCTTAAAAGTAGAATTAGGAAAATAAAGGCCCACCAATTCGAATAATATATTAAGCGTTATATTATATTGCCTTGGAGAAAAAGAAATTGCATTGACAATTAGGGGATTAGTTTTGAATAGATAGAAGATTGTTTAGTAGTATTGATTTTAAAGTCCCTATGCAGTAGACATCAAGAATAAATAGATAGTTAACAATTATGGCAAGGGGTATCTCGCCTCAGCAAACTTTTTAGAGATCCAGTAGAACAGGTTTGGTCTCCTTGGCACATTTCAACATAGAACGCATTAGTTTGATGAATCCTGTGTCTTTGGGTTTTTCCAAACCACGTTGGACACGATTTTTCATCACAGCAATAAATTCACGATTACTCAGCTGGTTGTCATCTGGGAAAGGAATAAGGAGAGCAACGGAGGTTATAAGGTCATACGTTCAATTTCATTTCAATACTCACTGTTGTCATCAAAAATGGTAAAGACCACATCAATGACATGATCAGACAATTCCACCATAGCCACTGTTTTGGCTACATGTTTTAGAGTGGCCTGATCAATGGAAGCTCCAGCAATGTGATAGAATGTCAGGGCCGTATCCACATCGTTGATATTGTTGAGAAAATGGAAGAAATCCAAATAATCCTTTTTCGAGATGCCAATACTGTGGTCACGGAAACGTCTCTTGACACGTTTCAATTTCTTTTGTTTCTTCTTCAAGGGGTAACCGGCATAGGCCAATAGCAATTCTCCAAAATCTGCCTCCGTTATGCGACCATTATCATCGGGATGTTTGCGCTCGAATTCCAGTGAAAGAATTTCCCGTTGCAGTTGGTGTTGGAAATCCAAAAATTTTTGAATTGTCAATTTTTTATCCAAATTCGGGCCAAAGAAGAAGGTTGTTAGGGCTGAGTTAACACCCTTTGGGAAGGCATTTGTTTGGTGGAATGAAATGTTAATATTTTTAAATATTTTTTTGTTCAACACTTTACACTTAACATTAAAAAGCATCACACACACGCATACACATTTAATTACAAATGAATGATTAAAAAGCGTTAAAACGAAAAATGTGCAAAAAAAGAAAAAAAAGAAAATAAGCAAGCAGAAAATTGATGGTCAGTAGAGTCGACTTGTAATGAGCTACGGCTGTTCTACACCGAAAACAAGCTAATGGACTTTTTTTATTTCATAAAAAACCTATAGTTGGCAATGTTCGATAAAACAGACATGCATCTAATCAATTTCCGAGCTTATTTATAAATGTCCAATGTCTTTTTCTGTGGGAACTTTCAGTTCAGGTGGTTGTCTGATTGCAATAAAATTTAAAACAAAAAATTATGTTAAAAAATGTTCTTCTATGATCACTTGCCATCCAAAAGCAGAATAACAAATATGAAATTTTATTTCTGAACCACGATAATCGAGTGCTTTGTCAATAAAAACTAAAAAATCTGTTAATACTTTACAAAATACTTCTTTCGTTTTTCATAGTAATGAAGAATACAAATACTATTTTATCTGAATACAGTCCTTCGTCAGAATCGATAGGTAATATAAAAATTCAATACAAGTATTAGCCCGATGAAAATCGCTAATTTTACTACAATTAGAGAACGGAGAGTATTTCCTTCTTTGGGAAAGCGTTAAAATCATAGGCAAAGTGTAAAAAATGGATTAATTAAAATAGTATCGACGATTCGATATCCCAGAGATAATTTGTTATGAGTTATGGTTTTTATACAAAATTATATATACGGGGTGAGATGGAAAAACTGCAACGTACAATCGTACCAAACCATTTTGGTGAGATTTTTCCAGAAAAAAAGTTATTCGTGATGATTCGGTTGTCCACCAGAACTCAAGCGCCGGTCATGGTGATGGTGTGGGCCGCCATAACAGCCGATGGTCACCCCCCACTCGTATTAATCGACCGTGGCATCAGAATAAATACCGAATATTATCGCAAAAATATTCTGAAGGGTGTATTAAAGCCTTAGGCACGCAAACATTTACAATGGTTACAAAATTATGTTCCTCGCTTTGTTTCGAGCCCAAAATGGCCACCAAAATCTCCGGATACCAATCCGTTGGATTATTGTGTCTGGAGTATTTTGGAAAGCAAGGTTGGCACTAAAAAATGTCAAAGTATCGATCAACTCAAGCAAGCGCTTCGCCGATAATGGACCAAAATACCGCAGAGCAACATTCGGCAGCGTTTGGTTTCATTGGCCGTTTGAAGGCCACAATTCGTGCCAAAGTTGACCAATTCGAACAAATCTAAACATATTTTAAAATTTGATGCTATTTCCGACCTTTTTTGCTTTCATTCAATAAAAAAATGTCAAAATTATGGCTCTTAACTTTGTTGCAGTTTTTTATATCATCCTGTAGAAGACTTTAAAATAATAGGCAAGTGTAAAAAAATGGATAAATTACAATAGTGTCGACGTTTCGGTATCCCAAAGTTAATTTTTTATGAGTTATAGTTTATATACAAAATTATATATATATATTCCCCATGCAGAGGTGTAGTAATGCATTATATTTGAAATGTCTGGTTTCATTTATACATAGGATGAGGAAGAAGGATTAGTATCAAAGAGGACATGCACAAAGAATAAATGCTTGTGTTCTGGGTTGGGATTAGTGCTTTTTGGAGAATTTTAGAATTAAAAGAATTGAAATGGGAAAAATTATTGGAAAACCAAGATTTTTGTTTAGTCATCAAGTACCTTAGACTTTTTTGCAAATTGAGTTTTTTTTTATAAAGATTATTTTACAAAAGAATTTAGAGAGGAAAATTAGAAGACAGTAAACAATTAAATATACAATTAGGATGGTTCTCTTGCGTCAAGGAGATTTTTAAAAAAGACATTTTCTTTGTTGGAATTGTATTAGCATATTGCATTATATATAGTACATTGTTTACATTTATATATATTGTATATATTTTAGCAGCGGGCTTCCAGCTTTATGGCTCGGGAGAAAGGGAAATGACTTACCTTAAATGTATTGCCTGTATTGGCATGATCACGATGACGACTGCCGATGCTAGTTTGTTGACGCACCAATGTTGCTACCATTTCGAATTCTTCACAGTCAACATCGCCATCACCATTCAAGTCGAACATTTGAAAGGCAATTTCAAAATGACGGCGAGATGCTGAAATGAAAACAGAGAACATTTATTCATTACATTCAGTAATAGTAGAATTGTATCAGATTCGGAGCATATAGTTAATCTCCTGTAGATTTTATGAGATATATGATAATTTTTGTACAATGTAGAATATAGCCGCTACATAGGTCCACGTCCCATATAACGGTACCTCCCTATGTTCGGTATTTTGATGTTTTTGTGACATTATTCACTGGATTTTTTTTTAATTTTCGTATTTGAATATTGTAATGACCTAGGACAGAACTTGACTATGCAGGTCCACGTCTTAGTAAAGACCTCAATATGACTGAAACTTCCCAATTAATAGTATTTTTCAACCTTTTTTAATTTTCAAAATTTTTCTAAATACTGGAGGTTGTTCAAAGTTCAGCCCGGCCAAACTTACTGCTTTTTACTTGTTCTTTTGAGAAATGCTAAATTCTGCCCAGAAGCTATTTAATTACCAATTTGTTAGATTACGGACTACTTCGTAGATTTTCCTTCCAAACCCTAATCGCATAACATTTATATTTCCTAACAAGTCTGTATATTTTTGTTTGTCTAAAAATCCTGGACATTCAAGTTTAGTCAATCTTTTGAGGGGATACAATGCTCCTACTCTTTCTACTACAACACTCCTACCAAATGTTTTGACTTCCTTGGACAAGTCTGAATTCTCCACCACTTGTTTATCTTTTATTCTTTCAGATTTACATTGTTACTGCTTTGTCCCCAGGCAATATAGAAAAAACCCTAACAAGTTTGCCGGGAAATTCCGATTACAAAAACAATTAAGTTAGAGAAGGAGAATCAAAACAAAATAGAAAACTAAAACATAGCCATGATAAAAACAAACGATAGAATCCAACAAAACTGCGGAGCAAAACAAAACAAACCGTTGAAATATTCGCTCGTAGCAAGCGATAAAAACAAAACTCGGAAAAAAAGACAACAAATTAAATTTTGCCATTTCTACTCCTTCCTACTCTACTGGCGCTAACCATCCAATGGAGAACGCCTGCGTACTTCAAAAAGTGCTCTGAACTCTACTCTACACACATACTTCGTAGAGCCGATTCGAAGGAGGAATGAAAACGCGCCACCATAACTGGGAAAACTTTGCAAGCAACAAAAATTCGCAGGCCAACAAAACAGTTAACAGTAAACATTCTAACGGTGTAAGGATAACAACGTTGTCGGTCCATCAGAAAAAGTCTTCTATAAACACTCACTCAAGGGAAGAGGCAAATAGACAAAGGAGCTAACAGGATATACAGAGCTTAAGTGTTCCATAGAAATTGAAGAGTGAGTGAAGAAAAAAAATCGGCAATAAAATTAGCAAAACGGCAAAAATTAATAAATCCATTTCATAAAAATTAATCAACAAATTACAGTAAAAGTAATGTAATTAATTCCAAGTTCAATTAGTGTGCAATAGAATTATCGGCAATTATCGAGAAATGTGATGTGTATGCCTGACAAAAATTGTCGTATTGTAGCGTTGGAATTAAAATCATCTTTCCGAAATTAATGCAAAGTTTTATTAAAATTCATCAATCGAATAAAAAATTAAGAGATACACATGCATTCAACACTCCATGAAACAGGCTACATTGCTATTTGGCCCCTGAAATGGACATTCAACAAGGTGTTTTGTTCTTTTCAACATGACGCCCTAGTTTTTGCCACTTTTGCGTCATCACTGGCATGTGTTGCCAAGTGAAGTAACATTCAGGGTATCAGCACTTAATCGCACGAAGAGACTCCAAACCATATTAAAACTATAAACACACACACACATATATACACATACACCCTCTCTCCGTCATAGCCAAAGGACATGGCTATGCAAAACGCAGCTATAGAAAACGAGGATGGTGGTAACCAGAAAAATCTCCTCCTTACACTTAGCCACACGAAAAATCACTTAAAAATACATTTATTTTGTCTTCTCATGGGTGTGTTTGTATGTGCGTTTTTGTTTGTTTGTATTGGTATTGGTGTTGGTATCTTCTCGTATGTACATCGGCTGGCTGCATAAAGGATTTAAAGGGCGAACAATCTACAAGTGGTAACCTTTGGCACTTTAAAACAAAGAAGAACAAGTCATCTTGTTCGTCAGAAGAGGGCAATGACAACGTTCAAGTGAAGGCAAAAGGGAAAAGTGCAACTGTTTTCAATGTTTTTCTTGTGTGTGTTTGCTTGTATTTGTGTATATGTATGCACATATCTATGCCAAAAAAAAGGTACCTCTCGCACTCGTCACAAATTCACAGATTGTCGTCAGGCATTCATCATCAGTATTCATTCATGCATGTACCACCAAACCAACACGCACGCATACATATTACGATGTTTAAACAATGTTTGGATTTTTTTTTTTTTTTTTTGGTTCAAACAAATATTTGAATGATGAATGGGCGATAGTTCGGTGGGAGGGCCTGATGTTACTGTGCATAGTTAGTTGTAAGTAATGAAATTCATGAGCAGTGGTGTCATCCTCGGTAACGCTACGGCCACACATGTGGACCATTTATTTGCACACATAATCGGGATTTTTAAATGGATATTATTGTGCCATAAACCACTAATCGCATGAAAAAAAAAAACGCAAGAATCTAGAATTAAAAAAAATAAATATTAGTCGATTTATTTCTGTTAATTAAAGACCATTCCGAGATAAACCTCAAAAGCTGTTAAATGTTAACTTAGTCAAATTCCCGGGAGTTTGGTTTGGGTTTTCATATTATATATACAGGGTGAGATAAAAAAAAACTGCAACAAAGCCAAACGCCGTAATTGTTTACGCTTTTTTTTAATTTTCTTGAATGAAAGCAAAAAATGTCGGAAATAGCATAAAATTTTAATATAAGTTTAGATTTGTTTGAACTGGTCACCTTTAGCACGAATTATGGCCTCCAAACGGCCAATGAAACTATCACACTCTGCCCGAATGCAGCTCTGCGATATTTTGGCCCATTACCGGCGAAGCGTTTGCTTGAGGTGATTGACACTTTGGTATTTATTAGTGTCAAACTTGCTTTCCAAAATACTTCAGACACAATAGTCCAACGAATTGGTATCCGGAGATTTTGGTGGCAATTTAGCGCTGCCGTGGCTACTGCGAAGCGCTTTTCGATCAAGTCGCTTCTTTACTTTTCGACCATTTCTGCTGATGTTGCTGTTTTCTTCCGTCCACTTCCTTGACGTCGGGCTACGCTACCAGTATCACGGTAACGAGCGATGGTACGAGACACAAAAGATTTATTCAAATTTAAATGCTGGAGTGCTCTAACGATAGCCACTTGAGGTTTCCCAGCCAAATATAAAGAAATCACACTATCGCGCTTGAATTCCATTCCATTTTTTTCTGGAAAATTCTCACCAAAATGCTTTTGTACGCTTGTAAACAATATAATGAGCTGTGACTGGAATAATTTTAACAGTTGTCGGAGAGTGGCTTAGATATGACAGCAGTCTGAAATTGGTTGAAATTTTCATCTCACCCTGTATTAGTCAATTTTATTTTGTAGATAACATAAACCGAAATAGTATAATGTTGTTCATTTTTTTGGTCTGGTGGCTTTGTACTAATGTAAAGTTGTTTCAAAAAAAAATATGTTCAAATGGGGAAAAATAATTTCAACCAAGAATTCCGATTATATGTTTCTCAGATCTTTGAACTTGAAATTTAGTCATAAAAATGTTTATTTTGCTGTTTAAAAAGTTTCTTGTGTAGGGTTTCCCTTGAAATCTGTATTGCCAACTACATCATCATCCTCCTCGGGCATATTATTAATTAACGTTTACATTTGCTCAAGTTACTACTGCCAGGGGAAAGAGATGAATAGCCCTTTGAGCCATGTCGTTGCCTCTCATTACTGGAACATATTTCACAACACATAATAAAGTGTTAACATGATTGTTTTTGGCTGTTTAGAAATTCACCCTCCACCACCTTCAGGTTAAAGTAAAATATTTTGGACTGATTCCAACGAAGGCAGATTGCTTGTTGAAAAGAAAATCAAAATGGAATTTTCAATTTGGACCGTTTGAAAAAAAAAAAAAGCAAAAATATGAAATGTTACATAAAATGTCAATGAATGAAGATGGTGTTTAAAAACTTTTAAGGCAGATTTCAATTGACTGTTTTGAAAAATTTCTGAAAAATTAAAAAAAAAACTTCAATCGAGGAACATGGCCAGAAAAAATACAAAATTTCTTCACTTAGAAATCCTGGTGCTGTGAAAGTAATTAAAAACAGGTGAAGAGAGACGATGTTCAAAATGATTATAGGAATTAGAGTAAAGAAAGTCCAATGGCAATTTTCCCATAGCGAACTGGAAACGAAACGAGAGAAGTGACTCGAAATTGAATTTAATTTAGTTTCTCTGAACTTAGCTTCCTTTGGACTGGCTTCGCGCATGGTATACGATATTCTACTAAATTAAATATGTATTTTTGAAGCGCTGATAAATAAATGAGAAACAAATGTCAAAATATATAAAAACAAGTAAAAAAGCTGTAATTTCGATTGGCCGATCTTTGAATAAACTCCACCATTTGCAACGATTTTGGCAATTTTCAAAAAAATTAAATCCGTTAAAAATTCTGTTAAAATCTTAAAAATGCCGAATGTAGCCTTTATATTAGGGTCTATACGACGACGTGGACCTGCATAGGCAACTTTTGTCGTAAACCATTTCAATATTCAAATGCGAAACTCAAATAAACAAATTCGGTGAATAATGTCGCTAAATCATCAAAATCATCGAATATCGGGAGGTAGTGTTATATGGAGATATACGAAGACGTGGACCTGCACAGACAATTTTCTGTCTTACGTTGTAGTATCCATTGCGAAATTCAAGCACCAACTTTGAAACAATTCCGGTGAATAATGTCGCTAAAATCATCAAAACACCGAATATCGGGGGTACCGCTATATGGGGGCACTGATAATTTTCTATCATAGACTGTAGTATCCTAAACGAACTTCAAAGTGAATTTTGTTTCGAATAGGAAGCCATTTCTTAAATTCCATAGCAATTTCCCTTATGCTACATTTCCGTTGGAGACCTTTACCATAATAATTGATTTTCCTGATCTATTTCTTAATTTGCAATTGGATGAAAATATATGAAAAGGTATTCCAATCCCATACTTCCGTAGGTCATGTAACAAATTACAACGATTACCTTGTCGTAAAGAAAAAATAAAAATAAAATTAGAAAAAATGAAAATTGTTGACATTTTTTTTTCATTGCAGAGAAAATTCTTGGAAGAAATCATAAATTGGTAAAGAAATTGTATCCAATAGCCAGTGACAATGATAATACGCCTGTGTTATGGCAGGCGTGTACAGACTTCCCTAAAATTGGTTGCATGCGCTCTGACAGCGCTATTCTATTTTGGATTTCTTTTTCGTGAGTCTATGAATGCTTTTGAACAGAATAAGGATAAGGCCGAGGCAGCTGCGGTGGCAGTGGGCCTAATACAACCACCAGGAAAGGGGGAGGTAAGTCATGAACATAATAAGCAGTGAGAAAATTCAAAAGAGACGTCTTCATTACAGATTAAAATTAAACGTTTTCTCAAGGAATCGCTAGCCAACAAGACCAACAAGAGGATCAAGAACATTCCAACATCTTCTTCATCTGGCAGCTATGTGAGCAGTAGCAGCACCTTAAATCCTGTTTATGAATATTCCGAAGAGATACACAGTGCCACCGAAAATGATTTGAGACAGCGACGTCAACATTTACAACAGATCTGTGAGAAATATAATTTATATTCGTTCTACCCACCGATGCCAAAAGAATTCTTCATATCACCGGGACACAATTTGGTGTGGTGTAATGTCTTTAAGGCGGCCAGCAGTACATGGATGTATTATTTTAATATATTGGGTAAGAATGAAGAAGAATTATTTAAAAACTAACTTAAATATGGAAAGATCTATAGAAATTTTTTATAAAAAATCTTAAGGATTTCCGAGAGAGAGAGAATGTAGCTAAAATCCTTAAAATACCAAATATAGCGAGACATATGACACCCATATATAAGTGCTATACAAAGTCGTGGATTTGTACAGAAAAACTTCTATAATTACCCATTACGAACTCCAAACACCTAATTTACAACAATTCCTGTGAAAACTGTAACAAAACTCATGAAAATACCGAATATATATCCATTCCAAAACTTGGACCTGTATAGATATACTGAGAACACAACTCCCAATTTACTGAAAATTCTGTTTAAAATTGTGACTAAAACATTCAAAAAGCCTTAACCTATACCAAAATATAGACCTATATAGCCCGTAAAACAACTGACTAAAGGCACACATTTCTATATAAATATGTAATATTGTTTTTTACTCCTCTCTAGGCGGCTATGATCCAAAATATTTACAAAAAGTCGAAACACCACCCATCGAATTGGCCCGTCAACGTTTTCCACGACCCTATCTACAGGATTTACTCGATAGCCTACCCTCATCGTTGTCATTTCTCTTTGCCCGCGATCCCTTTGAACGCATTGTCTCCGGCTATCGCAATAAATTGGAGGGTGGCAAGAACTCCTATTACAAATGGTTGGCCAATCGTATTATCAAAAGATTTCGTAAACAACCCATGTCAGCGGTGAGACCCAAAGGACCCACGTTCAATGAATTCGTACAATACTTAATCGAACAACATGCCAATCAGAAAGTATACAATGAACATTGGGCACCAATCTACAACTTTTGTACGCCATGCAGCATAAATTTTACCATTATCGGAAAAGTAGAAACATTTAATCGCGACTCGGAGTATATAATACGTCAGGCCGGATTGGAATCCTTGTTACTGGGTAAATTGCCAAAGAGTGCTTTGAAACGCATTGGCAATTTGTCCAAAGGTGCCAAAACATACAATTCATTGGAAAAGTAAGTCCAAATAGAATGCATTTCCAAATTCAATTATAACATTACGCTTATGATTTCAGATACTTTTCCGAAATTAAACGCTCAACCTTAGACCAACTTATTGATATTTACAAATTAGATTTTGAGTTATTCGATTACAACTATACCAAATATTATGACTATGTTATACCCGATGAAGTTGAAACCGAGATACCCTTATTATCGGCTACCCTGGGACCCAAAAACGAGCAGTCGTCACACCATTAGATTTATTCAACTCAAAGAAAAAAAACCAAAAACAAAATGCAATCAAACCAAAATTCATATATTCTTCAAAAAACCACCCAAAACTCCCACCCAAGTACCTCTTTACAAATTTTTGAAAGTACCAAAGCAATCTACACTACGTTTTACGATATTAAGATAAACCAAAGAAATCTAAGCCAAAAACAAAACCAAATCAATGAAAGTTTTCCAGTAAAAAAATTAACAAAACAAAAAAACCTATTGTATAAAAATATTTAAAAAAAACCAAATTAAGAAGTCAACACCCACAAAAACACAAAACAAAAAAAGGCCAAAGACTAATCTTAGTTAGAATATGTGACGTAACTTCAAAGTAACCAAAAATATTTATACATCAACTGTATTTTATTGTACTGAATCTCTATATAACTCTCATTTTTACACAAAACCTAAAAAATATATATACATGAAAAAGTAAATCGTGAATGAATGTTTGTATTATTATATTATTTTGTATTATTGTTCTTCTATAAGACTTGTTCCTTTACTATCGTGTGAAAGGTAGTATGGAAGTATGTATTACGCCTGGAGTAAATTTAATGAAACAATTATTTTTAGAAAAAGTACACATTTTCTTGATTACGTATGTGAGTTATGTGTGTCTTATCCTCAACGGATTGTATACATATAACTTATTTTCGGATTTTTTAAAATCAGTAATGGCCCATCAACAAAATACTTTTCAAATGAGTGCCTCTTTAGGACACATTAATTCTCTTTGAAGTATTTCAAAACCCAATAACCTATACATTGCATTACTTTGTATTCTGATGCATTGGATCATCCTCGATTTTCAGAAATCAAGTAAAGTACAGTAAAGGATCAAGTCTCTTGACGTTAAATTCATTTAAAGTCTTAGTTGAATTTTATTCTCATATTAGATATATATTTTTATTTCACTTTCATTTTAGTTAATGAAAAGTTGCTATTTAAATTGTAACTGTTGATGTGATGTTAAACAAAATGTTCTAAACTTTTAAAAAACCAATATTATTATTATTATTATTATTATGATTATAATTCTTATTATTAAAAAAAATATATATACGGACAATGTGTGTGTTTTTTGTGTATCATATTCAAAGCATGATGCAACCTATTTCGATAAGTATTTATATTGTACTTTTATGATATTAATAACAAAATAAATCTAATATTTTTTCTAAGTTTCAAAACGGAATATTTTTGTCTTTTTTGTTTCATTAAATCCCAAATCCAAGAAATTTGTAAATCAAAGGTAATTTATGCCCAGTTTTTTTAAAGCCATCGAAAATTAAACCGAAACGAAGGCAGTCACATGAATTCAACTTAAATTGGGTTTATCTAAACCCATAACTTTCTTTCGACTGGCTTTACGTCTACGATGCAATATTTTACTAAATTGAAAGTGTATTTTTTCAATTAGAAACACAATATTAAAAATTAACAGAAACATTACTCTAATGCGATGAGTAAGAATGTTGCCTTTTTCTGTTGTGTGATTTGATTTCTTGAATGAAAATAGTGTTAAAATTTTGCGAAACGTGTTCCAAAATATTCTGTTTTTGATATAGATTGTTAATTTGATCATTTGTCTCAACTTTTAGTCTCAACTCAAAAGGAAGTGACCGATTTTGACATTCGATTTCGAGTGAATACTTTTGCCAAAAATTATTTGTATGAAAAATGCGTTAGTTTTTTTCGAGTTGTGGATTCTAGCCACTATTCGAGTAGAAGGCAGAAACTGATAGTTACTGAAACTCAAAGTGGTTTTCTTTCGAATAGGAAGCAAACGAAGTCTTTTGATTGCCTTCGAGAACAGACCATAAGATCTTCAGAAATTAACACACAACGAATAACTTTCCTTGGCAATGGAAATTTCAAATAAATATTGACCGAAAAATTTCGGAAATCGCCCCATTGAATGTCCTTTAGAAATACGGCCGCTTATTATTTTCTATAATCTCTATCAGTCTAACAAGCAATTCATTGCTACCTCATGGAATCGAGGAAAAAAGAGAAGAATGGTTGTCAACTCGACGACAGATGTCACCACGACTATATGCAGGACTGACGGGCGGGTCTTATTCCTCTTAGAATTTTACGCTGATCAAGAATATATTATTATTTCGAAGAGTTACAAACGGAATGACGGTGGAGAATATAAAAATAAGAGAAAACCAGTACATCAACAAGAAGAGGCAACAGGTAAGGAATATCAATTCATTCTGGACACGATTTAGCAGTACAGTTGCACAAATATAAAGGTATGAAATATAAATTAATTTATTCTTTGGCTAAGTAATTGAACAAGTTTTAATTATATATTAATAACAAATAACGAATTCAATTTTGCCCTGATGATAAAATTGCAAAAAAAAACAAAACTTCTTCATTTTAGTTCTAGGTAGTTATGTTTCTACAATATTATATAGGATTTACTTACTTGACAACACAGTAAGAAGGAAAATATAGTCAGAGAAGGTTATCAGGCCGTAGGATCCCAATTTATAGAATATACTATTCTTTTCCAAATTCAAGTTGAGACTTTCGCCGACAGACTGTTTGAACGAGATAGAAAAGTAAAAAAAAGATACACATTAGAAATCAAAACAAAAGACGTGTATTTGAGTTTCATTTGTCGAATTATGTTCAGTTTAAAAATAAAAATTCCAGTCTTCACACAAAAATTCGACAAACGATATCTTTTTCAAAAGAGATTAGTAAAAACAAGAAGTTTTTTTTGTGAATAAAAATGGAGAGGGAAATCAATATATCCAAATATATACAAAGTGGAAAATACCTTTCCGGGGGCTTGCTTTAAGTTAGTAATAAGCAGAAAGAGAAAACAGTAGAGGAGTTTAGGGAGTTATACTAAAATTTTATTACAAATGCAAAATACAAGTTCATACCTTAGGATCATAACGGCGGTATTGATCCAATCCCAAACCTAAAAAGGAACAAAATACAATTAATATATTTGGAAATTCAATATTTGAAAAGTTAATTATTATTATCTAGGTCAACATACCCTCTGGTTGTTTCATACCCGGTGTCATGCTTGTTAGAAAGTCTGTTGGTGTCATAAATATTTCATGACGATCGTCCGATGTTGCCACTTGTATAGTGGCAAAATAACGAAATACTTTATCTGGCGTAGAAAATTGTCGAATACGATTTTCATATTCAACAATCTGTGAGTCAAATAGAAGTTGAAATAGATTTATAGAAAACAACATTGTATTAGAAAAACATATATTGTCATTTCAGATAATTGTAGAGAAAAATTATTAATTTGAAATGATAAGATAATAAACTAAATCAGAATCAAAAAAATTGGAATTTAAAGAAGTCTAGTAGAAGAAAATATTTGTGTAAGGGAAATAAAATGGCTAGATAAGATTTTGAAAGACAATTATTTTACAAATTGTTCATTTGAAACAATGAAACGATATGAAAGTCTACCAAATAAACCGGTAAAAAACTGCTGTAAAAAATAAGTTAAAGTTATTTACTTTAACTTAGGATGATAATACTAATTATGTCAAATTGAATTTAAATTCGTGACTGACATACGAGTAATTCAGCAACAGGATTAGAATAGGCTCCTCATTTTTTTATGAACTAAAGATAGTGCGTGATCATTGAAAAATAATCTGCAAGATCAATGCATTTTCAAAGTCGCTGTAACCTAAACTATCTATTGATATAAATTGTGAAGTAAAACGACCGTCCATTTCAAAATAAAATATAAAAAGAAATAAAAATTACCATCAGGTTGTTTCATGCCCGGATAAATTGAACGCAAAAAATCGTCAGGAGTCATACAAACAGTTGTTCCTTGAGGCGTCGTTAAACGCACCGTGGCAAAGTAGCGAAAGATTTTGTCTGGTGTAGAAAATTGACGAATGCGATTTTCATACTCAATTATCTTGATAACAAAACAAAAATTGGTGTGCACGTATGGATGAGTGTGAACAAAAAAGTACATGAAACAAAAGATCAAAAGTAAAGTTAAAAATTAAGAAGTTCAGAAAAGATAAATTAGTGAATCACAATGAAAAAGTCATATTATACCTTTCTCTCACGAAAGCCAACTTTTTCCTTCGTCGATCGGGCACTTTTCGACTTTTCTTCGATTGTATCATCTTTGCCGTTTTCATTTTCCGCATCACTATCGCTGTCACTATCCGATTCGGTAACAGTTTTAGTGTCTTTGGCTTTTTTGTCCTTTTTACGAGATTTCTTGTCAACATCTGCGGGTTCAACGCCTGCATCAGCATCCACTTTTGGCATAACCATGCGCTTGACTCTGAAAAGAAGAAATAATAGATCAGTAGACATTTACTTAGTATTCGTTAATCAGTAATATTGGGTCGGAACGAAAGTATATATAAACATATTCGCATGTGAAAATATAAATCATTCATGGGAGCCCACAAAAAGCAAAGTTTCCGATTTAAAATTCGGTCCGTCACAGTATTTTCTCAAGTATCTTTCAAAATGCTGTTTCTAATCAAGGAATAACAGGGACTGTGTTGTACTGTTTTTGAGTACTTAAAAGGTAAACTCAGATTTGATATGATTTTGTGAAATGTAATATCAATCCGTTATTGGGGGAAAGGTAGCTTCTATTCGTGGAAATCGCTAAGCTCAATACAGAACATAATTAGCGAATTTTTCCATATTGGGGACTTCTGTATTATATTACATATCTAAAACCGCCAACCAGGAATAAAATTTCTACAACCTGACTCATTAATATGCCCTAAGTTCGTCCAGCGAACGCAAATTTCCTTCAGCCTGCATTAAACACAAGGATAAAACATCCTTGTGGGGACAACGTCTTGGTCCTGACCAATAATCCAATTTACACACAAATTATACTCACTTCTTCCAATCCATTATTGATATCATAAAAAGCGAACCAATAATCAGATGATAGATTTTCGTAAACTTGGGTGTAATCTCTTTTTTGTGACCGAAATTCTTGTGACCTCGGGCATTTGCTGGTGTCGCGTAATCCAAAGCTGGAAGATTAAGTCGATTGAATGCTGCTGGTAACAAGCCAAAAGATCCCCTCGCCAAAAGTTGCCGTTGTGGCTGCATTAGCCTTCCGGCCATTGAACCACATTGTCTTAAGATGGACATATTGCTTCTCCAGCAATTTATTAGCAGAGTCTCGAAGATGTGCAAAAACAACTACCTGCAAAGAACGAAATAAATTGGGACACAACACGAGCAATCAATAACCACATTTCTCCCATTTATGTCAAAACTTACTCGTTATTAACAGAGATAAAACGTTTAACCAATCATTTATTTCGTTATTTTGTGATTCTTTGTTTAAATTTCGATATATTTTTCTATTTTTAGCACGTATTTTGACAAAATTCAAGCGTCAATTTTTTTTTTTTTTTTTTTTTTTTTTTTGGAATCGGTAATTGGTTACGCCGTCAAGACGAGGTTGGTACGATACCTTAAGTATGCATGTACCATTGCTTTGTATTCGATTAGTGGTTATCGATAATTATCTTTTTCTTTCTTGTTTTTCATTTCTTTGCTTCCTTGTAGTGTTGTGCTGCGTCGCGTAAAATCCATTTTATCCATTTTACAGCTGTATATTGTTTTTGTGAATGAATGTGCATAATTCATGAAAATTTTCAGTGGCGAAACTTTTGAGTAGCGCAGGTAAGTTTGAAAAATTTGTAAAAATGTTGTAATTTAATCTGTCATTATTAAATTTAGGACAGACAAAGAGTTGGTGATTTTCGGTGTTTGGAGTGTTGCAAGTGTCGCATAAGTTGGAGGTTTCAGCGTTTATGAGAAATAGGTAAGTTTTTCCGTATGTGTGACCGGTGAATAGTCGATTTATGAGTTTGATCTCTCCAGGGGGCATGTTGGAACCTGCATACCAGTGACGATTCCATAGATGCTGATAGATTTGGGAGTGAGCATCTTTTACTGAGAGGTCTGATTGAATTATAGAGCCGACTTGAGCCGCATGTTTGGCGAAGAAATCTGCACGCTCATTTGCAGGGATGCCAATATGTGAGGGAGTCCAGATAATGGTGAGTTGTGTAATTTTTGAGTTATTTACTTTTCGGAGTATATTATTTGCCAGGTAGTTTTGAGTTGTATTTCGTGTTAGTAATAGACAAGCATTTTTACTGTCCGTTATGATA